TACTTAATTAAATTTTTGTTTTAATACTCTTGAAATCTATGATTTTCGTTCAAATTTATTAATTAAAAAGATAATTGCTTCAATTCAAATTAAATGATAAGCAATTAATACAAAATACTTCATACCATCCCAGAACCCAGTGTCACAAGTGCATGAGCAATTTCTAAGAAAAATCGAATAAAGTAAAACAGCTGTCCGGAATACAATTGGACAGAAAATAAATAGAATCCTGAGAGAGACTATACTAGCTGCGGGTCGCCTCGAGGAAATACATCTCGCCTAGTCTCCGTGTCAACCATGCTGCTACGCCCACTAGGCCACTAGAGGTGCATGTGCAACAAAAATGCACAGAAGTGTAGTATGAGTACGAAAACAACGTGTACTCAGTAAGTATCTCGTCTAATCTCGAAGAAGTAGAGACGAGAGGTCGACTTCGACACTTACTAATGGTCCGGTAATGGTATATCAATGATATATTAAATCGTGGATTTTTATAAGCAAAATTTTAAACCAATACAGTGAAGCAAGAAAATAATTTTTTCTTTTATAGGAAATTTCCAAATTTCTTTTCATCATTTATACAAATATTCTCAAGCCGGGAAGAGGCTATAACGACTTTAACAAGTTCAAGGCAAGCAATACAAGCATGCGCAAATCATGCCGAGGACTTACGGCCCGATCCAACAATATTTAAACTGTGCACTGCTAGAGGCGTTCGGCCCATTCCAGAATTTAAACACACACAGACAGTCAATCAAGAAGTCATCATGAAACAATTATCCAAAGAAAACCAATTCTCCTTTAACAATTTAGAAAAAAATGAAGTTTAATTATTTTTTAGAAATTCATTTACCAATTCGGTAGGATTTAAGCAGTTCAACTGTCAATAAGGTTACAGATATTCCAAGTATAGCATGCTTTTGGGTCCTAGACAACCCGGACTTACACATATTAGTAGCTACGCACGAACTCTCGTCACCTCGTGCGTACGTAGCCTCCACAAATAGGAGCACATAACCAATTATTTCACCTATGGGGACAATTCCCTCTTACAAGGTTAGAAAGGAGACTCACCTCGCTCCGAAGATCCATAAGCGGCATTCCACGCCCTTCCGAAGACTCGAATCGATGCTAAATGCTCCAAAGCTATCCAATAATTACGCAAATCCATTAATATATGCTCAATTACTCATTACAATCCAATTTATAACAATTCCTAACCCCGATCGAAAAGTTGACAAAAACGCCCTCCGGCCCACGTGCCCGGATTCCAAAATTTTTCGAAGATAAAGTTTACCCATGAACTTACGAACTCAAATATACGGTTTTCTCTTAATTCTATACCCAAAATCGTGGTCAAATTCCAAGAATATAAATTTTCTAGGTTTTCCCTCAAACCCCAAAATTTCTACCATTTTACATGCTAAAATCCGTACATAATCAATGTATTTAACTCAAGTTAGGTGAGATTAACTTACCTCCAAGTTGCTAGGTGGAAGCCCCTCTCAAAAAGCTCCAAAATCGCCCCAAAGAAGAGAAAAATGGGTGAAATGAACTCAACCCCGCTTTCTAAAACATTCTGCCCAGCGACTTCCGCACCTGCGGACTCCTCGCCGCTTCTGCGAGTCCGTATCTGCGGAGCCCTCATGGCACCTGCGCCAATCACCGCTTCTGCGGTCCTTCTTCTCTCTTCTGCGCTTGCGCAGATGCGGCCAATACCCCCACATCTGTGGTCCCTGCTCCTTTCACATCTAACCGCTTCTGCGGTTCCCTTCCTCGCTTGTGCGGGGCTGCTTCTGTGGTGAACCCTCCGCAGAAGCTGTTACACCAGCAACCAGACCCCTTCAGCTCATCCTTCAAGCTCTAATTCGATCCGATAACCACCCGGAATCCACCCGAGGCCCCCCAGGACCCCAACCAACCAACCAACCAGTCCCAAAACACATTACGGACTTGCTCGAGGCCTCAAATCATATCAAACAACGCTAAAATCATGAATCGACCTCCAATCCAAGCTTTATGAACTTTAGAATTTCAAACTTCTACCTTCGATGTTCAAACCTATCAATCACGTCCGATTGACTTCAAATTTCGCACACAAGTCATATTCGACATTACGGACCTACTCCAACTTTCGGAATCAGATTCTGACCCCGATATCAAAAGGTCCACCTCCGATCAAACTTCTCAAAAACCTTCAAATTTCTATCTTTAGCCAAATAACCCCAAAATGACCCACGGGCATCCGAATTCACTTTCGATCGCGCTCCCAACTCCAAAATAACCATACGGAGCTACTCCCAGACTCGGAATCACAAACGGACATCAATAACACTAAAATGCACTTCAACCCAAACTTATGAAATTTCCTCCAAAATGTAACTTCCACAATAGGCGCCAAAATGCTCCCGGGTCATCCAAAACCCGATCCGGGCATACGCCCAAGTCCGAAATCATCATAAGAACCTACTGGAACCTTCGAATCCCGATTCCGATGTCGTTTACTCAAAAATCCAATCCTAGTTAATTCTTTCAACTTAAAGCTTCCGAAATGAGAATTTCCTCTCCAAGTCAACTCCGAACTTCTCGAAATTTAATTCCGACCACGCGTACAAGTCGTAATACTTGAAATGAAGCTGCTCATGGCCTCAAACTGCTGAACGGTGCGCTAGAGCTCAAATCGATCGGTCGGGTCGTTACATCCTCTCCCACTTAAACATATGTTCGTCCTCGAACGTGCTAGGAACTGTGCTGGGGTTGTCTGGAATCACTGGTTAACACCTCGAGCACCTACCTATGCTACCACAACTCAGCTGGGCGCCCTAGCTTGGTCTATCTGAAGATATCCTTTTTCACTTAAGCTAATAAGCCTTAGAGCCCAATTCCATCATCCGAAATTCTCTGCCAGGCCTGTTCCAACATCCGCCCACCGTATCGATAACTACACGCAGCACCAAAACATGACTGCGTATCTTAGCTGAATTCACACCTTGCACCACTTTACTCACAGAACCACAATAGCATTCTCCGATCAAGCATTTCGAAGTTCCACGAATCTGATGCTCCCATGGCACCTCATGACCTACATAGGTCTCGCTCTAACTCTTACAATAACGCCACGACGGAAGAGATGCATAGAAATTCATAACCAATTGCCGAACCAACAAATCATTGGGTCTATACTCCTGTCAGGAACCATCACCTCATCTTGAATCAAATAATGGCCCTAGCTCCTTAATGTACTTCATATAATCCGATCGCACTGATCCTAGATCCAGTAACCNGAAAGCTTTTTGATTTTACAATTTTATACGATGTAAAATATATTTTTAAAGGGTAAAAAAGGCGAACGATATTTCGCTAAGGGCCTTCGTGTTTTTAATATAGTATATATATAGTATAATATAGTATATAGTATATAAGTTATACATATATTCGATATTAAATATTGAATATTAAAATTTAGGATTTTAATTCAATTTAAAATTATGTACATATATAGTATGTATATATATATATATATATATATATATATATATATATATATATATATATATATAAATCGAATTTTGGTTGATGGAGGATCCTCGGTAAACATCATGCCAATTCAAACTGTGAAAGAACTTGGTATTCTCATGAACGAACTCTCGAAAAGTCGTGTGATGATTTAAGGATTCAACTAAGGGGGCAAAAAGCCATAGGCGCGAACATGCTGGAAATCACCATTGAAAATATACAATCAAGTGCATGGCTACATGTGATCGATGCAAAGACTTCATACAACGTCTTGCTTGGAAGACCTTGGATACATGAGAATAAAGTAGTTCCATCTACCGACCATCAATGTTTAAAATACTACGAGGGTGAAGTCGAGAAGATGATAGTTGTTGATGATGAGCCATTCACCGAGGCTGAGTCACACACCGCCGATGCAAAGTTCTACTTGAAGAACCGCATTGTGATGGAGCTAAAAGCCGATGATGGCATGAAAAGCAAGAATAACGAGCCCTCAACTAAAAGAGAAGAGGTGACTACTGGTGAAGCCAAAGCCGTTACTAAGGAGGTACAACCCAACGCGAATAAATCGTATAGAGGGAATATTGCGTCTTATGGCAAGAAAGTAAGTCTTGCGCTCCAATATGTCCCTAAAAGGAAGAAAGATGAAGGTGAATCATCTAATCTCCAAGGTAACATGCTAAAGGAGTTAACTCTTCCGGTAAAACGAATTAAGGCAGTAAAGTCGTCCTCAATGCCGCTTGCAGGGTTTGTGGCCCAAAATCGTTTGCAGAATGTGGCACTCCCTACAAAGCGAACAGATGAAGGTTTTGACCCAAACTCTTACAAACTATTTGCAAAAGCTGGATACAATCCCAATGAGCCGTCAAAGTTAGGGAAGCTCCCATCAGAAGCTGCAACGAGGCAACCACGTGAAGGTTTGGGATAGAAGCAACCGTCACCAATGCGCATCTCCATAAGAAGGGCGAGCAACAATTACATCACTGTAGAACACGAATCCGCCGCTTCTAACAGGCCTTCCGTCTTTGATCGACTTGGAAAATCAACTGTGAGGACTTCCGTGTTTGAGAGATTGGGTCCATTAAAGAAGGGGAACAAGTTCCAGAGAAATTTTCAAAGCATAAGAACACCCGCTTCGCCCAAAAATCCAGAAGATCTATAAGGATTTCCAAAGTTTGGTTCCTTCTAGAATGAGGCGACAAATAAAACTTGTGATTTCGTGTAAAGAAGTATTGAAGGTACAAACATATACTGTGGTGTACACTAAGGAACGTGATGAAGATAAAGAAAGTGTGGGTTCTTAGTATCATGTTACTGTACAAGGCGAGAATGGTGTTCCATCTTTAATGGAGAATAATGTAGAATTGGAGTATGTTTCACTGTGTTATCACATATCCTTCAACGATGGGAACCCTCAAGAAGATGAAGATGCGAAAGATGCCCCACCTGAACTTGAAGAAGGAGTGAAGACGACAGTTGATGCCAAGTTAACCTTGGCACCGATGAAGAACCAAGACCCACCTACCTAAGTGATTTACTAGAAGTTGATGAAGAAAGCACTTGTATTGAGTAGTTCAGGGATGTCTTCGCTTGGATTTACAAAGAAATGCCTGGCTTGGACCCTAAAATAGCAGTCCATCATCTTGCAGTCAAAAGAAGATAAATGTTATGTACATCTCTCACTTGTCAAATGGTTATGCCACTTGGTTTAGTTAAGTGGCATGCCATCAAGTATTACTTTGGCATGTGATAACTTAAGAGAACTTGTAACTCTCAGGAAAGAAATTGTATACATCAGATACTGCATTATAAACCTAAAACACTTGGAGCAATATCATAAACAAGCTCTATAACTCCAGATCCAAATAGTGCGGGACTGCGGGTATTTCCACATGCGTCGATATTAAAATGACTCATTATATAACAAAATCAATCAAGTCATCACTCACCAGTTGATAGAAGATGCAGACACAACTCGTATATTAGTTTTCATCGTCAAATCCAGCGGGGTCATCTTACATGGGACATGGAGTTCTAAGGAGAAAATTTTTGACCTTGAACCACCATCTAGTTCAGAGGATTCAGCAATTTTAGCAAAAGCAACTTGATGCTCATGAGTAGCAAGTCCTCTTACGGCTTTATCCTATCAATAGAAGATAAAAGGTTAATCCTTAGCTTTATCTAAGTATAAAGAGCGTTGAAAAAAAAAGTATACAGAGCAATTAAAGAGGATAGATGCTGGCAATAGTAAGTACCATATCAATAGTAGACAAGCCATGTGCATCTACACCACCCAGTGACAGCTCAGTGACGCTGCGGAAGGTATTTTCATTGCACCTTTGACTTGTGCTACAAGTTTTGGTTGCACAATATTTTCCACTTACAGTTGAAGGAAGAAAGGATTCTGGGCTTTTAATGACAATATATGAAAAAAATCATTATATGAGCAGAAAGAAGATACAACAGACAATACATTCCTACAAATATTTAATACTATTCTACATAATTACCATTTCAATTGCTGTTGATTCTCAGCAGGAAATGCTGAAGGCACAGAAGATTTTTTAATACTACCACTTTGCTCTGCTGGAAAACTTTCCTGCCAGAAAGAAGAAATAAAGATACTTAATTAGTGAGGGAAAACACAAAAAGAAGTCGGGCCTCAGGTATCCTTCAATTGTGGAGCATGTGCATCAGGCCTCAGGTATTGTCGGTGCTCACAGCTACAAGGGTGCTGTGTCTGCCTGTTTGGTGGTTGTAGAGAAAGATGCTCATGGACGCCCATGGTGAGAGATTTGTTCTACTTACAAAATTCAAAAAAAAAGATAGTTTTTGGTCAAATTTTAATTGTAAATTAACCAATACGTTTAATTTCAACTATATTGTAAGAGTTTCTTTCAATATAAAAGCAAAAAGAAACTTGTGCGTCCTATGCACTGATATGGATAGTGTAATGAAGGAACAAAATAATATTTAGAGCTTAACTTTTGTGCACTTATATGGATAATGTAAAACTGTTTTACACAATTAGGTTATGATCACTACAACATGTGACTATCCACAATAAGTCTAGTATGGTATCTTGAAAATAAAGTAAATAACTTGCTATAATAGGTAGGTTAAAGTGCAAATGTAAAAAGTATAATGTAAAAAACTTGTTATACTGTAAGTGAATATAAGTTAAACTCTCGGTTTTAATACAGGTAAAGAGGTTACTAACCACTCCATTTGTCCTATTTTATGTGATTAGTTTTACTAGGCACAAAGTTTAAAGTCATACTTTTGAAACTTGTGAACTAAAACAAGGCATAAATATTTGTGTGGCTAACTCATCACATTAAAGGTAAAATAAAAAGTTTAAAATTAAATTATTTCGAAATACATAGAGATAATAATCTCGTACAAGGCCCAATTGATGGACAAGTGAGTGAGGTTTTACATACTAGGCCTAATTAACAAATGCTCTCTTCACCCACAAAGTAATCATATAATCTCATATTCATATGTTCATCTCATTTAAATTACATATATAGCCATAAAGAATTCTACTTTCATATTTAAAAAGCTAACTAAAAATAAATCGGGAAAAGAGGTACTCACGCGTAACTCAGATGGAGTTTTACGTTTCACTGTGGTGGCAGTGACCTTAGAACCACCACCACCACCAAACTTAAGTGCATTTGATGGATGTACGGGACCCGCAGCAGCAACCTTCGCCATCTTCTCTAACTTTAACTAACAAATAGCTTCTTCAGATATCACAAATCAAAAAGAAAAACACAGAAATCAGATACCAAAAAATGGTCAACAAATATTATAATCAGTAAAATCACACAAGTGATGTTAATATATCGTAATATACATATTTTATAAGCTTTTTATCGGAATTCATTTGATTTAGGGAAGAGAAACAATAGCGATTTACCTGAGATTTAATCAAAAACTAAGAATCGTACAAGTTCCGAATCATCAGTGATTGCCCTAAATCCAATAAGAGGGAAATCTGCGGCTTTCAGAGAGAGGCTGAGCCACGTAGAAGTGATGTTTCCGGCGGGGCAGGGGGGAATTTTGGGGAAGAGGAGAAGTGAAGTGGGAAAATAAAAAGGGGGAGAGGGGAATTCTGGGGGATTTTAACGATTTCAATTTCCCTCACAACTGTTGGGGCTGACGGCAGCGGGCCGGGTATGGGCGATAATTTTACTTTAAACTGCACCGCTCTATGTTATCTTTTGTAGCGCAATAACAATTCCATTGCACGAATATATATATTAACTACTAGTCTCAAAGTATTCTATTTCTATGGTCAGATAAAATACCCAGCATCGTCATAATCGGGTTGCAATCATTGCCATAAAATAAGTTCATATCGGTAGTCCCTTTTAGATACCGCAATACGTGTTTGATTCCATTCCAATATCTCCTTATAGGAGCAGAGCAATATCTTGCTAAGACATTAGCTAAAAAAGTTATATTAGGCTTTGTAGTGTTAGCAAGATATATCAGTGCACCAATTGCACTAAGATATGGCACTTCAGGACCAAAAAGAATCTTTATTTATATCGAGTGATATCACAATTATCGGGATACTCAATGGATGTGCTTTATCCATATAGAATCGCTTTAAAATCTTTTCAGTGTATGTTGATTGATGGAAAAAAATTACATCTTTCATATACTCAATTTGTAGGCTAAGACAAACATTTATCTTTCCAAGATCTTTCATTTCAAACTCTTTCTTTTAAACAATCTACTGCTTTGGTAAGCTCCCCAGGAGTTCCAATGATATTTAAATCATCAACATACATGGCAATTATAACAAATTTAGATCTAGATCTTTTTATAAAAATACAAGGACAAATTCAATCATTCTTGTACCCTTCTTTCAACAGGTACTCACTCTGACGATTATACCACATGCGCCCTGATTGTTTCAATCCGTATAAGGATTTTTGAAGCTTTATTTAATAAATTTCTTAGAAACCTTAATATGCTTCAGAGCAATTTAAATCCTTCAATGATTTCCATTATACGCATATCAAGTTTTTCATGTATTGCAAGATTAAAACCTGAAATGACTATATCCATATAGTCAATGTGAGGATATTTACTAATTTTCTTGTGCCACAAGTCGTCTTTATGTCTATCAACTTGAACTTTTCGCACAAAAACACATTTATACTTCCATTGACTTTATACTTTCAGGTGTTAGGACTATTCGTCCAACTTTACATTTTTCAAGTGAAGTCAATTTTCATTCGTATTTTTCATTTGGTCAATCATTTATCTGTCCAAATTTCATGACAGATTTGAGCTCAAGATCCTCGTCAATATTAATAATAGCGCTACATTATATTAACAATATCGTCGACGATCAATTTATGTCGGTTCCATTATTACCCAATAAAGACATAACTTATTGAGATCTCTTTATCTCATTATTATCAAGTACTTGAGCCTCTCCCATGAGGTCTTATGAAGTGTTATGCCGTGTTCTTCTAGAGCACTTGCCTCCTTGTTATGACCATCTTGAATATTTGCTCAATTGCTCCTCTCCTTCTTCAAGGAGGTTTACTTTGGAACCGATTAGTCTATTATGCTTCACGCATGCCATAGACTCTGTTCATTATGAACTTTATTTTATTTGGAGCATTAGTAGTTGAAATATGACATCTAGCTTTGTGTCAGCAAATGCACCTGGCAATATAAATGCATTATCACTTGAACTTTAAGTATACATTTTCTTGTACGAGGATCTACGTGTACTTATAATTAATTTCTTCTATTTTTTTTTTCAACAATTCATTTTCTCCCCGTAATGTTGGGATCACCAATACATATCCCCAACATTCTTTGGAGACTCATATTTGTGCATTGTGGTGGAACAATTAAACCATATAGCACATTCATATTTCTAGATATAAATTATTTGGTTCCTGACCTTGAACCGATTGTGATAGAGAGAACTTATCATAACTTGGCTAAATGCGTACAAGTGTTGTTGTATATTAAATAATACATCACATACCAAATTTTATTTTGGTAATTTTATTCTCATAACCAATGATTTAGCTATAATTGGAGGCATACAATTTCTGCTAAACCAACTTGGATTTAAACCAGTATTATCAAGATAAATCATCATAATTTATATTCTGGAACTGTGATCTAATAATCCGAGCAAGCAATCTTGCAAAAGCCAAACTGCAAGTTGATAACAAATGCACATGTGACCATAGAATAGATGCATCTATTAAAATCATATAATAGTAAGCATTCCACATGGCAGGTGACTGGGCCCATATATTTATCACCTTTTATTCGTTCCAGAAATAAAGGGATTCAATCCTAACTTTTAACTGGTATATCATGAGAATAAGCAGCACAAGAGAATTCATGAAGAATCTTCTATTACTTCAATACATGCCAATGTAATCCTCAATTAATTTTTCGCATCATAATTGAACCGGGATGGTCAACCGGTCATGCCAACTAATATTTATTTCAGTAAACCTCTAATTTACTTGTGGCATATGATTGTATCATCATGCTTATATTTGTGTAGATAGAAACTTAATCAGATAACCTTTTATATTTACCCGGTATAATTATAGAAATATGAAGATATTCAATCTTCTTTTCATTTATAGTCTCAATATGCCAACCACTGACTTATTCATTTGAAACTCAAAAAGTTTCTTTTGAGACTTTACAATATCAATGTCATGAATAATTTTATTCGTCCGGGTAGTAACAAATTAGTTTTTTCGGAGCTCTCAATAACTTTTGTACTACAAGATCTTTTATCATACCATTCATATGGTAATTGTCTCTTTCACAGAGAAAATTATATCATAATACATTGTCATGGTCAAAATCATCATAAGCAAAGTTATTTATTGCTTTAATTTTGCCTTTAATAACTTTTATAAGGCATGCCAAAATATTTTGGCGTATCACATGTACGAGACCAATGACATATTCATGTAACCACATAATAATATTTATTCTATTTATTTCACTCAAACCTCCCTTAGAGGTGAGTTGTGTGGTATTCATCCAATCATGCATTGCATGTCTTTATTATTCATTACTTTTATTACATATTGTCACATTCACATTCAGGAACGGGTCTGCATTTCCAACACTTATCAAAAGTCACATTCTCTTCAAGGAATGGATCATAATCAACGGCATGCTTTATTATTTATATACCAATTTGATGGTAAACATTGCGTTCACATTTTGAAGGACTATTTAGAGGACACTTATTGTTCTCCTTTTATAATCATAGTTATGATTATTATTATGTTGATCTTTGGAAACTTATTATGCAATGCTACCGCATTCACTTCAAGAATGGAGTAAATCACGTGGGACAATTTTCATGCCTTTTCATGAAAAATATATTATTTTTCTTTAGTCATCATTATATCATCAATATGATACATTGAGACTCAAACCCAATGTCTTACCAATATAAAGGCATGTTAGGCCATAATAAATTGGGACTCAAACCCAACTCTTATCATTATGGAGCATCAGGACTTGATCCCGATGTCTTACCCTCAATCAATAACATAATAGGCTAAACAATATTGAGATTCATTCTAAAGCCTTAATTTCAATCATATGCCAAGAAAGTTGTACACAGCCAATTTGCAACTTAGCAAATTAAATTTGCGATCTTAAATAAGTGTACGAATCTCAAATCAGCGTAAAGCTTTATCAATTATTTGTAGCATCTATATAAAATACAACCGTCTGTAGTCAGAATATTCCTTCTAAATTCTATTAGAGTTTAAATGGATCATAAAATCATTGTCACAATATTTATTGAGTCTCTCTCAAAAATATTATTGTTTTCGGGGTATACCCTACCTATTGAATTTGATTTAACGCCATGAGTTTCCTTCACTCAATTCAACCAAGCAATTAGTGAATAAATTTATCAAAAGCACAACATATAGGTAACAACACATATATAGTACTAATACATAAATTCAACATTTATATTAGCTGAAAAGTGACATTATAGGTAACAACTTACCAGTTGTAGCTTATGCATCATTCATATAAAATACTTGAAAATGGTAAATCAGTAGCAAGCATCAAATAGATCATGGATACTCGAAAATACCTCTTCTAGTAGTCATACTAATCGTTGTTTGCTTTCAAATGATACGACCATAAATTATGAAGTATACTTTCTCAATAGCTGGTTTGTTTTTCAAATTTCAAAGAAGTAATTAATCAACCTAGATAAAGATGTGAAGTATTTCTTGTTTTCTTCAAGATGATTTATGCTTCTAATCAGTATGACCAATTTTTTATTTTATTTTATTTTATTCCTTTTTTATTGTACTATATGCAAGTGCAAAAACCCAAAAGGAAAAAATATTCATCCAAGTAAAAGAAAATGTTAAAAGCGGCAGGACAGATTGAAAAAATATTCTTCCTTTTTATCTTCCTTAATTTCCATTGCTTTGAACCACTACATCCCAGCTATTTAGGTTACAGTCCCATGTTAACAGATATTTTTACCATAAGTCTTCTTACCTCGCTTCATCTCAGTTTTACCAATTTTGTTTGTCTATTTCTTACATGATAAAAAAAGAAAAAGTTGTCCCTGTATATGATGTTAAGCATTTTTGATGTATAATAGCCTAATTTAGTTATTATTATGACATGGGCTACCAGGCTAGGAATACCAAATCGATAAATTGTTATTTATCATACTCCCTATGTTTCATTTTAGTCTTTTTAAAAAAGAATGATACCTTTCTCTGTTTTGAAACAATTAAAAGTTAGCATTCTAATTTTACCCTTAATGACATGACTTGTTTGGACCTACTTATATAGAAGATCATTCTGTTTACGACTATTCTCTGTGCGCATCTGTCTTGCCATTTGGCTGTTCAAACTCTCACAAAATTTGGTTATTCACTTATTCTGCAGTTTATGTGTGTATTAGGATGAGCCTTTCTGAACATAGAATATAACCACTATGCCTCAATCCCAACCCAAGCTAGTTGGATATGAAGGGTTACTATCGATGTCATTCCCTTTAGGCCCTATACAATATTATTGTGAGGGTTCATCATAAATAGATTAGGGCTTCAACCTACCTTTAACTCTCCTCCTTTATCCAATCTTGGGGTCGAAAATGTGAGCAAACTCGCAGTGATAGTTTTCCAAGAAATAGAATGATGAGATAAATATATTTCTGTTGAGCATAAACTAGGGGAAAATGTGCATTAATGATCGGAAAATGCCCTTTAACAACAACCGAGGAAAAAACTTAATTAATCATGTAAGTATGGGCATAGGAACAATCATAATATTAAAAAGTTTAAACAAAACAAAAAGAAGCTAAATGTTTATAGTTAGAGGGTAAAATAGGTATTTGGCAATCCAAAATTTGAAAAATCTAGTTCAGTGACCTTCTGAGTGCAATATGCATAGTTCAGTGATTTTGTTGTTACAAATAAAAGAAAAGTAACTTTAAAAGATAATTTGGGATAATTAAATGACCATTTGAGTAATAAACTCTTCGAACCGGGCATTACAAGCTTATAACTTGCAAACTCATAAAATAGAATGAGGAAAATGTACGATACGGACTCATGATTCAGGAACTTATTCAAATGAAAAGATTCTCCAGGAACTATGCAAAATTTGGGAAAAGGGGGGAGGGGGAACTAGGAGGAAAATGTAAGATACGGACACATGCTTGACCCGATCATGATTCAAAACGGGTAATTTCAAAATGGATAAATTATCCGACCCGATCCGTATTTGAAACGGATAAAAACGGATTTATCCGGCAATTAATATGGATATCCTTATTATTCATGGCTTCTTAAATATATTCACTTATAAGAGAATTTCTAGTCTTCCAAACTTAAGGAACCCCAATTTGAGACTTTACAAATATAAAAGTTAAACACATTAGTTATCCATTGATTATCCATTTGGTTAACCATTTTCTAAAGAGTTAATACCCTCAAACCCACCTAAACTATACTATTTTTGTCAGTTTACCTCCTAAACTATCGAGTGTCCCCGAAAACCCCCTGAACTATATCACCCTTCATATAAAAAAAAAACCCGTCGCTTATGTGGCACTTCGTTTGCAATCACTTCCTCAAAAGCGCGTGAAGCTTGAAAATTAGCAGATTTGGGGCCCACCTGACAGCATGAATAACGGCTAATTAGCCCTTTTTTTTAAAAAAAACTTATATTTTATCCCCTTTTCTTTAAATTACACCATCTTCTCCATTATTTCACCTTTCTTCTCCGTTTCTTCACTTTTCTTCACCATTTCTTCACCCTTTTGATCTCTTTTAATCTTAATCCATTTGAAATTCTCTCTCTGTTTATTGAGTTTATATTTTATCTTACGCATTTTATCCATCCTTCATTGTTAGCCAAATTAATTTGAAAGAAGAATACCCATTGTAGAAGAGTCATGAGGTTTAATGTGTTTTGTGGTTGTGGGCAGCTTGCTTCTTTCAGAACATCAACGGCAAATGCTAACCCAGGAAGACGTTTTTTTGGATGCAAGTACTATGGAGTAATCATCTTTCAAATCATCATATTTTATGTGATATAATATGGCTAAATTTTGATTTTATTTATAATGGTTTGGTTAAATTTTTCAGGCTAAGGATAGTGTGGCTTGTGGATTTTTCCAGTGGTATGATCCGAAATTTCCTAGCCAATGTAAGGTGATAATTCTTGGGTTATAGAAGGATAAAATGAAACTCGAGGCCGAATTGAAGAAGAAGAAAATATTGAAGATGCTACTTATTATTAGTATATGTTTCAATGTATTTTTTGGTTGTTCAAATGTTAGGGTAAATGACTTCTTACTGAGTTTAGGATGTAAAAAGTAAAGGGAAACTTACACAAATGTCCCAAATAAATCTCAACTTACCAACCTCTAGCCATTAGTCATAGACTTACCAAAACTAGCCAACAAAAATTGAAAAACCAAATAATAGGGTTCTTTCTCTCAAAGAATCACATGCAAAAATCACCTTCCATATTTTTAAGCGTGATTAGCAACATTAGATACAAGACGGAAAGGAAATTTCATGGACGGGGTAGCAAATAAGGTGATGAAATACAAAAATCTATACAATATTCCAAAAATCTAAACAAAAAAGGAACTTTTTCAATGGGTATAGTTGAAATTCATTGAAAATATATAGATAAGTCAATATATAAAATTTGAGGAAGATTGGAGGTGATTGGACTGATTTTGTATCAAAATTCGTAATTAAATCGAGTTCAAAAAAGTCTTCTGCGACACATGTATCAAACATGTATCACGCATGTATCACACACACAAGTATACATGGATATACATGTGATACACAATTGATACAAATATGATACATATGTGATACACAAATGATACACATATCATTTTTTTTTTCATGTTCAGCTTTTACTTCGAATTTTCAATTCAAACCACCTCAAAACTTCACCAAATCATCCCAAAACTGAGATTCAAACTCCTTAAGTTGTGCCCAATCTATTCTAATAACACCCACTCAAAACAAAGCAAAAATTTGATATCTTTTGTTACAAATAGCTAATTGGCTAATTTGGCTAATATTAGTAATATTTTATCAATTGGCTAATTTTTGTAATGAGCTACTTATAAATGGACATAGCTGGTAATTTCCAAAAGTAAATCCGTCCTATTTTTTTTAGAGTTAATACCCTCAAACCCACCTAAACTATACCATTTTTGTCAGTTTCCTGCCTAAACTATCGAGTGTCCCCGAGAACCCCCTGAACTATATCCCCCTTCGTATAAACCCCCCCCCCCCCCCCCCCGTCGCTTGTGTGGATTTTAGTATTAATTAAATTAATTACCCACGTGGCATGCCACATGGCATATTTTATAATTTAATTAGGGCGTGTATGGTACGCACTACAGCTAATGCGATGCGGTTTTTTTTATACGAAGGGTGATATAGTTCAGGGGATTTCTGGGGACACTCAATAGTTTGGGTAGTAAACTTACAAAAATGGTATAGTTTAGGTAGGTTTAAGGGTATTAACTCTTTTCTAAATGGATAATATAGTTCTTTATTCATATTCAACCCATTTTTAAATGGTTACATTATTCAACCCATTTTTTGATGTATAATATGGATGGATAACTGATTTCTTTTAACCATTTTGCCACCTCTAGGGAAACTAAGCAAAGTTAGCAAGAAACAACGGCATAGCAAATGCCATCAATTGCAATGCACTGCAGTACAGCAATCCCAATCACCAGAACCAACAGACTAACTATGAACTTTTAATGGCAATTGCATGCATAAAGTTTGTAGTTGCATTAATCATCAGCCTTCTTGCAAATATGCGCTGCATTAGCTTTCAAGGCAGCTATACAGCAATATTAGTTTAAAATAAAAATGAGGGATGAACCGTGCCTCCTATTAATTTGAAAAAATAAAGTTCACTCACAAACAATTACTGAACAACTTTACAAACAGAAAGATGTATTGCAGCAAAAACAGATGCCAGTTTATAATTTACCCAGAATATGTCACAACACAGGATGTCAAACAGGTGAAAGCAAAGCAGTATATGAACCGCCAAAGTACTTCACGCCCTTTAAAAAGGCAGAATTTATCTGGGCACACAATTTGGTACTTGGGATACCAAAACAGAGGCTACCATTATCCAAGGCTTCAGTTGCTGAAACTTGTGGATCAGAACATTTCCCGCTAACACTGAGACAAGTATTCAAACCAACCGAAGTAGGTTCTGTGATAAAACTGCAAAGCCATAAAATACCACGGAGAAAAAAAAAAGAATACATAAGTAAATAAATAAAATAAAACAGCATCAGTAAGATAAATTAAAACTTCTGAACAGAATACAAATACAAAAGTTGGATCGTCCAAGTATTTGGACACTACAGTAGACCTATCTTCATACTACCAGGTTTTTTCATATTACTGAAGGATTTCTCCCAGTTGGATTTTGACATTGAAACATTTAAGTTTCAACTTTCTTTCAGTAGATCTTTTGTAACCAAAATACCAAGTATGAAATGTTGACATTCAAGGTTTTTCATGTTCCAAAATATGAGTGTTGGTGAGTTCTCAATAACCCTCCAGTTCTGAGTATCTTCTCACTTGCACTATATTGAAGACACTAGACCAAATCCACGGCCTAAGTAAAATATTAGTCTGGAAGTTCTTGGAAATATGCAACATAAAGTACTTTTTTTAGTAAGGAATACAAAGCAGCACTTTCCGGTTTTAGTTTTTTGGCGTCTATCAACTTAGCAGAACACTTCCACCTATTTAGGGGCATCATCTACTGATAGTGTTTCACTTCTCTTAGAACATCTTACAAACTTACTTTAGGGGCATCATCTGCTGATAGCATTCACTTCTCTAGGGACATCTTACCACCCCAAGGAATATCCCCTTCCAACCAGTAAAAGAACATGTTTTAATACACTACATGCAACAATATATTCTAGATAATCCATGTGAACAGTGTTTTGTAGACAGTATACCTAGCCTCAAAACTTGTGCTGTTAGAGCTGAAAGCATCACATATAGCAGAGGTTACCCATGGGGCAAGGTATCGACCCTTAATTTCAACACTATAGCACATCCCAGAATATGGTTGCTGAGTATGCTCACAAGGCACATTTGACTCCATTCCTTGAAAAGCTACCTGATCAATTCTCCTGACCTCCTTGCATCTGACCTGCAGAGTAGGTATAGTGATATCTATTTGCATTCTGGATAACACTATAACCAGCTTAAGACAGAATACATTGATAATGCAATAACAAGCTCAAGACTGAAGATATTTAGAGATTATTTTTTGTAGCGTAATAAGTAACAATCAGCTTAAGACTCAGTATATTGAGAAATTATCTTTTATAAAAAGACATTACTCTTATTAGTCAACAGTGGAAAGCAAGATCTTTTGGGATAGTAAGACAGCAGGTGCAGATAATGCTTTGTGAACGTCCATCGAGCCTAGCCTCTCTATTATAAAAAAACATAGGTAGATAATGGCTTATGGCATATAAAAGAGCTAGATCGCTAACAGTTTTTGTAAAAATGAAAGAGTGTGTCGTGCATGCGTGCCTGTATCACAAAGTAAGAGCAAGTCTTTGCGTGTTTTATTCAGCAAATTTTTAGTTAAACTCAACTGCCTCAAAGATTAAAACAGATTTAAGGTCTCAACTATGAACGAACAGATCAAATTTAACAAACATTCAAATATCAAGCAGACCGCGACATGCCACCTTCAATTACATATCTTATGTACAAGCATAGATATAGTTCATCCATTTATTTAGCAAAGAAAATAGTATCTGATATCTATATTCAAAGTCAAACACTTAGACAAGTGATGCTTTGTTCTACAGCAAGCATCTTTTCTTAAGGTACTTGTATCCAATATAAATTGACAAATAAGGAAACTAACAGGATAGGGCATCCTGGACATATCATGGGTGTATCTTACTGGAAATTGATATGATACAATAAGCCCCACATCGGGTGTGACACTTAATGAAGTGCAGTAACTTATTTACTTTAAGCCTCCACTATTAGAAAAATGTGCCGCAGTTATACTACTGGTCAGCAGGTGTAGCCCTCAAATTTTCTATAGCTGCATATCCCACAGTGGCAAATTCTGAACTCTAGAATAGACTGTCATGCTCTATTTTTTTTCCAAGTTCAAACTAAGAAATGAGTTTGTTTTGTATTTCACAAACCCATTTATTATTACTAGTTTTAGGGGAGTGCCACAAATCTGATAGCTTATGTTTAAACGCCTAACAGAGGAAGACAGCTTATGAAGCATAAAGCCACACTGAGGCAAGTACAGGCACAATCATTGGCATGATAAAAAAATTCTTTTACAGTATTCCTGTTGAATTAAGTGGCTACACATTATCTAAAAGCATAAGATACACAAGATAGATTTATCAACAATACAACAAATGATAACGTGTGTACATTTTATTATCTTAGGGAATATGAAATTGCTAATATGGGAGTTACTATTTACAAAATTAAAATTTTAAAAAAAGAGCATATTGGGATTGTTATCTTTCTTTTTTGATCGGTTAACCATATTGGGATTGTTATCCCACTGCACAAGCCCCTAAATGCCGAAATTATCCTTTGGATATAAGGTGAGAGACTCCAATCTTGGGTGAAGATTGGGAGGAAGAAAATGTTCATTGAAGGGCAAACCAAGAACAGTGTTATATTGAGCCCTCCGTTAAAGTCTTCATCACAATCAAGCAAACACACAACTGCAAATGTATATCCGGTTACAATCCATGTATTTGCTTACTACTCATACTATAATTGTCTTATAATCGTGTACTATCTCATCTCAATAAGAACGACCCCAAAGGTCATGGCTTGAACCCAACTATTCGGACAATTTAATTGAAGAAACAAGATTATGCATAAGTCTTAAACCAACCTCAGGGGCAGTGAATGCAGCATTCTCAAATGGGATAGGTGAATACAACGCAGGGACGTCCACACCAGTTAGAGAAGTTAAGAAATATCTGAAAATTTGACAAAATGCTATGTAGTTTAGAGAATTGAATATCAAAACTGTGGGCATAATATGATGGAAGGGAGGATATGGAATGAAGACAACTAAACTTTTTTATTAACTATGAGCTTACCTATAGTTCAGTAGAAAATCATATAAAGAATGAACATTCTCATTTCCAGTGAATGCCAGCAGAGATTGGGGCCGATTATCCACATCAGACATTGCACCCCGCCGCCTAGTCTGCATAAAACATTAAACTCACCAGTTGGAAAAAAAATTATTATAAACCAACAAATAAATAAGGATGTCCCCTCTACAACTTAAGCTTTTAAATCAGGTTATTCACACACTTCAACATATTAAGCAAGCAAAGGTCCTTAGTTCAGCCTACCATAACCTATAAATGAAATATTTCCATGTGTGTGGCCCAAGGAAAAAAATCAAAAAATATTTGGGTGGGGCGGGGGGACAATGTTGTGAACTATAAAAGTGTCTCGTCTCTGGCAGTTTAAGCTGTTAAAGGAAGCAGTTGACATACTTCAACAATAAAAAAGTTTTTCATGGTAAAAGGGGAAACTGAATAATCCAATATTTGAATACACCGCGACAGTTCTTCTAGCAAGCAGTAAAGTAATTTTATACATCACTATAATTACTCCAAAATTTCCACATTGAGAAAGTTAAGTTCATTAAGGCAAAGGAAACTCGGACATAACATGAAAAAAATACTCAATACTTTGGACAATTGAAGGGAAGCCTTGGAGCAACGGCCAAGTTGTCTCTGTGTGACCTATAGATCACGGGTTCAAGTCGTGGAATCAGCCACTGATGCTTGCACCAGGGCAGGCTGCCTACATCACACCTCCTTAGGGTGCAACCTTCCTCGGACCCTGCGTGAACACGGGATACTTTGTGCACTGGGCTGCCCTTTTTAATACTTTGTACAATTCTCCCTTTCTTAAAACTAGGCATTGACAAGTCAGTCCAAGAATCTGACATCATTAATACAAAGATTTGGAAGCAAATTTCTCTCCCGGATTTATTTTTCCATGTGAGTCTCAACTACATGACAAATTTACCTGGCCCAGATTTTGTTTCTCAATCTCTGAAAGCTCAAGCAGCTCTTCTGTACTAAGTTCCTCCAATTTTGAGCGGCAAAGCGGCATAGAAAAAGAAACATCCTACCACCACAAAAGATTGCAACACATAATCCGCTTAACAAATTACATATGCAACAAAATGCATAATCACAAAGCAAAAATGCATGTCCATTCAGCACTTTAGCATCACCACTTGAGTGATATTAGATAGCATATACACGAGACAATGAAACCAGGAGTCAAATCCTAATCATCCTTCTTTACTGTTATAGCTGATAGTGTTTCCTAATCCTTCTTTTTTATGCAAGTATATGGAAGTTCAATGTCGCACTTTCGTACAAGAGATACCTTCTAAAAAGACAACTCAAATCATTAATTTTTTGCGGTTTTTGGCGCAACATTCAAGATGAAGAGAGTTCATAACTCTCTACAGGAGTAGACTTTCTTTTTTGTACAGTCACAATCCCTTCTTTTTCTTTTTCTATGGGGTGTATTAGATCTTGTAACTCACAAGCACTCTCTTTGAGCTTGGCCAGTTTCAAAAAAAACAGTTGAAGTTGTGCCCTGGACTTGTATGTCGAATAATTTATTTTCCAACTTCAATTTCAAATAGTTTTGCCCAACTTTATTTGCTTGACTCAAATGGCTGTGGAAAGCCAAAGAGTCCATCTTTGTATTCACGCCACTGATCAGTTATTCTATCTTGCTCCTAAGACTTGGCACCAACTTTTGTCACTTGTTATACTGTAGTAATATAATGAGCTAGAATGCCAGCTTCATGCTTTTAGAAAAGGAAAAAAAACTTATTTCCTATCTTTTTAACACATTTTCAACAGATAGAGGTTACGTGATGCAATATTTACACACCATGCATTCGCTTCTCACTTAAAATCCTGGGGCTATATTGTCTTTAACACCTTTTGCTTTACGGCTCCTATTTATGGACTAACATATGGAATTTCTTCACTGGAGCACGTACCAAGTTTCATAACTTGTGTAATGTTATCAGGCAATTTAAGATGCTATTCAAATCCAAAGTAACATTACTTGCAAATCATTACATCATTAAAACTAGTCTAGTTGTTGGGGAGCTTAAATTGCAGGGGTTAGACCTAATCAAGTATATGAAACTTTAGTGACTCATTAGAACATCCCCGAGCTGCTCCAAGATCAACTTTTACAATCAAACTAAAAGCATTGTATCAGCACTTTGCAGGAGGGTAACAACAGAAACCAAATAGGCCAAAACGAGCTGGATAACAACAGAACTGTGCTTGAAGAATACCATGAAGAAATAAGCAAAATAAGAAGTACCATCAAGCCATCATCTTACATGTTCTTTGAGTGATGACCTCAAACCACGGGTTGACTGAGATATATATGCATTGCAAATGCAGTTTTCCTCAGAATAAGAACTGGTGAACATGACCACAAATTGAGCTGTGCAGACTGCAAAGTTAAAAACAGAGAGAGAACATGAATACATAGAATTCAAATCACTACAATGAAGCAGACAAAAGGTATTCCCACTATTTCATTTTATATGACGGAAGTCATTCATTTTGGAACAGGCTAATAAGGAAAGAGTGCAATATAAAATTGAACAAAGGGAATGACTTTTAAGCTGCCAAGAAACTGTATCCACAAACAATTGCATCTTTATTTAGTTTTACAGAGTTATTACAACAGAAAATTAAAATCAGATTGTTTATTTTATGTTAATTAGACTCTATATCACCTCATCCAAAGAGATCTAATCTAATTCAGGTGTTACCCTTTCTGAACTTTTGGGAGCAAAGAAGGGTAGTCAGGCAAATAAATACAATCATGGAAGAAGCGACAGGCAAGTAGCAATGGCTGTCATTTACATCACCATTGGATAGTTCTTCAATGGACATGGCAATGCGAACTTTTGTATGTGTTCTTAAATTGTCTCAGAGTACAGCTCTTAAAGGCAAGTATGTATAAGTAGGGGTGGCAAGATGAGCATGGTTCTAAAACATGGGTCAAGTCGGGCAGATTGGGGTATGACCCATTGTTTAGCCCATCTTGACCCAGCCCATCTTAGCCCAAAGGGGCTGGGTTGGGCAATGACCCATTTATTGACCTAACCCATCTTGACCCGCCCAAATTCAGCACAACCCGCCCATTTGCCACCCCTATGTATAAGCCAATAAGCTGAACACCAGACCTTTAGACCCAGGAGTTAACTAAAATCACAAGTACCAAAAACCAATAAAGTTAAACAATGATCATTAACACATAATAATGGAAAATACATATGAAAAAGGAGGGAAAAATAGATAGTAGAACCATGGATTCCGTGTAAAACAGAACCTGCCGTAATCACTTCAAATAGTTTCTCTATCATTACAAGTAACATAACTAGGCTGAAAATAGGTACATGTCTATGTGTTAAAAACTCCTTGTAGACCAATATCAGAGACTCTACTGGTAAGACCCAATTGCCTAACCAAGTATAATATCATAAAGAATTCATTTATTGCATTTCTCCCTTTTCTAAGTTGCAGATGTCCATCCTAAATCACCACTATTTATAAGTGTGAAGTCTCATGAAATGCGAAGAGAATAAAAAGTTAAAAACTGTATGCCAGTTATAAGTGGCACATGAAGGTGGTAATTAAAATGATACTTACCATAGAAGATGCTGCAAACATTCTTCCGAAGCATGTAATATAAACTTCGAAAGGAATCCTGCCATGCTAGCTGCCTTTCGCTTAAAAAGTCTAGTTGCCCTAGGATTAAAAGTAAAAATTCTACAGTCAGGAGGAAAGATAGCAAGCAAAAGGTAGGACTATACAGAAGAATCCAGCAAATACCTCCCATTGAAGCAGACAATGTTAAAGTTGATATAACTGAAGGCGGTAGAGGAGACTGCGGATACATCCAGGAATGCAATGACCAATGATTAACTGCTTGGGAAACAGAATTCATTTCAGAAAAGCAGGTCATCTTTTGACCCGTGGAACAATTCGAGGATGTAAACCTCGCCACCACATTGCCGGTGCCACAATTGATCAATCGATGAAACCTACAGGATTATACGAGACACAATTAGCCTTAAAAAACACAACACCGAGGAACACAATTCAAAGTAATAAGACATGCAGCAACACTTGTCTTTTTTTGAGGGGGCACTGTTCATGGCATGGTCACTTGGTCAGAGAAATTGTTACGTACATCTCTCACTTGTTAAATGGTTATGCCACTTGGTTTAGTTAAGTGACATGCCATCAAGTATTACTTTAGCATGTGATAACTTAAGAGAACTTGTAAACTCTCAGGAAAGAAATTTTTTTGAAACTGATCTCTCAGGAAAGAAATTTTATGCATCAGATACTTCATTATAAACCTAAAACACTTAGAGCAATATCATAAACAAGCTCTATAACTCCAGATCCAAATAGTGCGGGACTGCGGGTATTTCAAAACATCTTGCCTTACTGGTGGTAAAATAAACTTCCAGAGACGCACAAATTCTTTCGTGCTAAAACCAAGAGAAAACAGATTCCTTATAAGTTGTAAAAGGAGCTCAACATTTTATGAGTTCAACTAAGGAATACAATGCATAAGGACAGTTTTTCCAACAAATAAATGTAGACATGCGTCGATATTAAAATGACTCATTATATAACAAAATCAATCAAGTCATCACTCACCAGTTGATGGAAGATGCAGACACAACTCGTATATTAGTTTTCATCGTCAGATCCAACGGGGTCATCTTACATGGGACATGGAGTTCTGAGGAGAAAAATTTTGACCTTGAACCACCATCTGGTTCAGAGGATTCAGCAATTTTAGCAGAAGCAACTTGATGCTCATGGGTAGCCAGTCCTCTTAAGGCTTTATCCTATCAATAGAAGATAAAAGGTTAATCCTTAGCTTTATCTAAGTACAAAGAGCGTTGAAAAAAAAAAATATACAGAGCAATTAAAGAGGACAGATGCTGGCAATAGTAAGTACCATATCAATAGTAGACAAGCCATGTGCATCTACACCACCCAGTGACAGCTCAGTGACGCTGCGGAAGGTATTTTCATTGCACCTTTGACTTGTGCTACAAGTTTTGGTTGCACAATCTTTTCCACTTACAGTTGAAGGAAGAAAGGATTATGGGCTTTTAATGACAATATATGAAAAAAATCATTAAATGAGCAGAAAGAAGATACAACAGACAATACATTCCTACAAATATTTAATACTATTCTACATAATTACCATTTCAATTGCTGTTGATTCTCAGCAGGAAATGCTGAAGGCACAGAAGATTTTTTAATACTACCACTTTGCTCTGCTGGAAAACTTTCCTGCCAGAGAGAAGAAATAAAGATACTTAATAGGTGAAGGAAAACACAAAAAGAAGTCGGTCGAAGCATTTGCTGAATTACATAGATTCCAAATAAAAGTACCGCGACGATAAGTAAACTAACCTTGACATTTTCTTTCCTCGAAATCAAATTTAGCCTGATGCTGTTTTTTCTGACAGGAAATAGCTCATCCATACGAGTATCAACATATCTTGGGTTCTTCGATACATCAGATATCTTGGACCCCGGGAAAACACCATTGCTTTCAAACAAGTGGATGGACTTTGTTAGTTGCAATTAAAAAGTTAGAAGAGAAATGGAAACAAAAATTACCTCACAGAGCCACCAATTGGGGCTGATGATTCATCCACAGGTTGTGTAGTATTCTTTCTCTTCAATTGCTCTCCCTGTCATATTCAGTGTGTCAAAAGAAAAAGTGAAGAAAAGCACCAAGGTTTACTAGATCTACAAAGATGCAATTTAAATTTTCTAAGTCACATTTCATGACTAACTATCTATATTAACTTTCTTATATTATTCTTAATCACCAACATGTGGGATTTTACTGGGTATGTTGTTTGTTTTCTTAATCACCAACATATTCATTTATATTGCTTCCTTAACAAATAAAATTCACTTGGCAATTATATTTACTGCCTAGTGTGCACTCTTCAAGACAAAGCTTATGGGCGATGAGGCACACGCCTTAACATCCTCGTGCCCACACCAATGTGCCGTATAAGCAAAGCCACCAAGGGCCTATGCTGCACGCTTCAAAGAGCATGCCCCCAGCGAGCTTTTACTATAATAGTCATTCACGTATGTTGAAAGCCAATATGTACCTCCATATATACCATTTGTATTAACAAATAAAAGTACTTTAAAAAGGCAATACATGTGAAAATCACACACCATCTTCACATGACTAACATAAATATTGCATGTATGATTGTATGTGCACAAGATCAGACGGGAAATGATAACATGACATGAGCTAAGGCACGTTCTTTTGCATCTAGCACTACAACATTATTCAGTGAGCATCTCAATTGATCATACCACGAGAAGAGAAAGTTAGTCATGTTTTGAAAGTAGAACCTACTTGATGTAAGAATACAACCACCCCAAAGCAATTACTCAACTTTCATTGCACTCCAGTTTAGGCTTAAAATTGGAAGGAAAAGGTAACCATTTATCAATATTTGAATGCACACCAAATTAAAGTAATGTTCAATCATTTAAGCGACCATTTATATTTTCCTTTTCTTTGATTTGCTAGCTAAACTTAAATGTTTACACTCTTTGATTGACTTTCTGGAAAAAAATCTGGAAACAATACGCAACTCTAACTTCTTCATCCTCCCTCAGCTGACACATGTACACAAACCAGAAGATATTCCTCATCAAATTATGTTGCCGAACCATTTTCTCTTACCACCCCTCTATTCCTTTATCCCTCCCTGGACACACATAAAAAATCTCAGATGACATGCACAATTCCTATTACAGCTGCACCAATAAGTCAAATGCAGGCAGCCTTATTCTCCATTGTAATGGCTGGAGATGAATCCATCTCCTTCCAGCAACTTCTCCTCACAAAATATATGATCTCAACAGAGATATGGATGTTTGCAGGATCGCTTTTGAAAGCAAGTACAGATTGGAGAAGTAACATTCATTCAACTACTTCTCCAAATATCCTTCAATTGTGGTGCATGTGCATCAGGCCTCAAGTATTGTCGGTGCTCACAGCTACAAGGGTGCGGTGTTCGCCTGTTTGGTGGTTGTAGAGAAAGATGCTCATGGATGCCCATGGTGAGAGATTTGTTCTACTTACAAAATTCAAAAAGAAAAGATAGTTTTTTGTCAAATTTTAATTGTAAATTAACCAATACGTCTTTCAAAATAAAAGCAAAAAGAAACTTGTGCGTCATATGCACTGATATGGATAGTGTAATGGAGGAATGAAATAATGTTTAGAGCTTAACTTTTGTGCACTTATATGGATAATATAAAACTGTTTTACACAATTAGGTTATGATCACTACAACATGTGACTATCCACAATAAGTCTAGTCTGGCATCTTGAAAATAAGGTAAATAACTTGCTATAATAGGTAGGTTAAAGTGCAATGTAAAAAGTATAATGTAAAAAACTTTTTATATTGTAAGTGAATATAAGTTAAAATCTTGGTTTTAATACAGGTAAAGAGGTTACTAACCACTCCATTTGTCCCATTTTATGTGATTATTTTGACTAGGCACAGAGTTTAAAGACATACTTTTGAAACTTGTGAACTAAAACAAGGCATAAATATTTGTGTGGCTAACTCATCACATTAAAGGTAAAATAAAAAGTTTAAAATTAAATTATTTCTAAATACATAGAGATAATTATCTCATACAAGGCCCAATTGATGGACAAGTGAGTGAGGTTTTACATACTAGTCCTAAGAAATGCTCTCTTCACCCACAAAGTAATCACATAATCTCCCATTCTTATGTTCATCTCATTTAAATTACATATATAGCCATAAAGAATTCTAATTTCATATTTAAAAAGCTGACTAAAAATAAATCGGGAAAAGAGGTACTCACGCGTAACTCAGATGGAGTTTTTCGTTTCACTGTGGTGGCAGTAACCTTAGAACCACCACCCCCACCAAACTTAAGTGCATTTGATGGATGTACGGGACCCGCAGCAGCAACCTTCGCCATCTTCTCTAACTTTAACTAACAAATAGCTTCTTCAGATATCACTAATCAAAAAGAAAAACACAGAAATCAGATACCAAAAAATGGTCAACAAATATTATAATCAGTAAAATCACACAAGTGATGTTAATATATCGTAATATACATATTTTATAAGCTTTTTATCGGAATTCATTTGATTTAGGGAAGTGAAACAATAGCGATTTACTTTGAGATTTAATCAAAACCTAAGAATCGTACAAGTTCCGAATCATCAGTGATTGCCCTAAATCCAATAAGAGGGAAATCTGCGGCTTTCGGATAGAGGCTGAGCCTCGTAGATGTGATGTTTCCGGTGGGGTAGGGGGGAGGAGAAGTGAAGTGGGAAAATAAAAAGGGGGAGAGGGGAATTTTGGGGGATTTGAACGATTTCAATTTCCCTCGCAATTGTTCCGACTGACACAAAACTCCTTTCGACAATATCTTAATCTCCGACAAAATATTAGTATAAACACCGCCAAAATATGAAATAATTTCGTACTAACAACTGGAATAGAGTAGCACCGATAGTTAAGCTAACTACAAGAATCCCATTCAAACTTTAACACGTTTATACTTTAACTAGTGAAATTAAAAAAATCAAAATATGTCTAATGTCATAATTTATTAAAAAAATCAATCTTTGCTGATTAATTGAGTGTGCTTTTATACGAAGTGGAGAACTTAGTTTAATGTATAAGAATTTATATATGTATTGGGAAAAATTGAGTTTACATATAAAGATGACATGTCATGACACGTGGATGATCAAGAAATTATGATTAGCAAAGAGGTACGAGTTACAACAGGCACGAACAGAGGCATGAAAAGAGGCACGAGCAGCTATGCGGAAGATTCAGCGTCCGTACCTATTTAAGTCCAAGAATTAAAGAGAATGAACCTGACAGTACAAAGGAGTACAGATACAGTACTTAATGCGCCTTTAATATTAAAAACGTTAGAGAATCTGTATTAAATATAATGATTATGTAGCGTAGCATTTAATGCCTTTAAATTGTCCATAATAGCCTTATTATGACAAAGGCAAAACGCAGATCTCCCAAATAGCTATAAAAGGGAGATAACTGATCAATTGTAAGGACACGAAACACTATCTGAATATACTTTGGTTTACTTGTTTCTCTCTTGATTATATTCTTGCTATCCAAATTGCTTTCTTTTATACATTCTTTCGATTATCAGTAACCCGCGTTCTTCTAAATTATAAGCTTTAATCGAAATTCCATTTTTTGGTTAAACAATACACATTCTGCGCACATAATTTAAGAACTTTGTGAAAATCTCAAGAACATAAAAAAGTAAATAGTTAATCTTATATAAATCGATAATGTAGAGTGATTCAAATTTCTTTTTTAGTAACAATGTAAATAAATTAAAGTCAAATAAATAAATTTAAAAATAAGTTTAGGTTATATATTAAAGGTGTAAAATATTTCCGCAATTAAATCCTTTAAAAGATAATTAAAAGTAACTCTAATAAATATCATTAATCGGTAGCCTTAGACAAACTAAATTATAGTATTAATTACGTAAGAAATTCATTATACTATCCGGCCATATAAATTTAATCCAGGAAAACAATGTTCTTACTTTGGCAAACAAAGGCCAAAGTAAGAAGGATATTATAGAGTTTGCAGAGCTAAATGCATACTATATATATTGTATCAAATATTGATTTTCAAGGAAGAGCTTTCATGAATTTCAACCGGAAATATTCAGAAGCTTGTTCTTAGAGATATGCTAAAGCTACGTGAAAAAGCAACCTCCATGAAGATGAGGTTGTTCCTTTTGTTGTTCGTACTCTCCATATTTCTTTCATTTTTAGTCAGTCTTCTCGCATTGATGTCCACTGACCACTTATACAAGGGCCTTCAGCATTTCTTGAATGTTAAAGGTTCTTTATTTCAAGGAATGTTAAAAGTTTCTTCAATATCTATGAATAAGTACTTGAGTTGATGAAAAAATTATATAGTTAGTTGTAATTATATGTACCTAATTGTAATTATATGTACTTCACCTGGCAAAAAAATATTGTGAATCTTCAAGAAAGGTAAGTGACTATAACTAACAATGAATTGGTTGTTCGATTTTCTTTATGTTTTTAGTTTCTTTAATTCCATTTCATTTTCTTTTCTTTTTTTGAATAGGAGAAAAAAGACATACACACATATTTAAACGTGACTTTTAGTTCATACAACATCTAATTCCAATAAAAATATTGTATTTATGATTTAATCGATATAATAAAGTCAAACTTTATATGCAAAATCTTATAAAAATCACATAGCAATAAAATGCATAATCGAATGCTCGGATATTTCTGAAGTGTAATCTTCATTTTTCTTTCTCATATTCAAACCCTCCAACAAATGAGAAATTGTTATCCTTCCTTGAACAATTAAATTAATTGTCCTTTTTTCCCCTACTAATTTGATAAATATCTCAAAATTAACTCTCTTGATTATCATTTCTGCCATTACAATACAATAGAGAGGAGTCCAGGAAAATACAGTTTAAGAGATACATAGCTGTAAACTACATAGAGAAGCATAATAGATTTGAAAAAAATGGCGAGATAGTCTCTTTAAAAATAGTCAAAAGGCCATTAAAAGGTGACATGACACAAACCATATCAATTGTTTCCAGATGAGAAAAATAATTTTATTTTCTCGAATTGTCATTTGTTTGAGCATGTAACCATACTTTCTCAATTCTTTTTAAACTAATAAAATAATAATCAAAATTCAATATAAAATTTATTACAATCATTCCTAAAATAAAATAAAAAGCATTTTGATGCAAGACAAAAAATCAGAGTCATTGCTTATTACATATAAATTCACACTATAACTACAAGCCTAGAGTAAATGGAAGTGTTCTTATCAAGGTTGAAGTTGAATCTTAAATATTTCCCACAAAATAATGCCATATGTTCTTCTCTTGCTCACTCCCTAACCAATGAAAGTTATGTACCAATATTGTGTATGAACAAATAACTCTTGCAAACACCAATAATGTGAAGAAAAAGTCGATAAAAGAGAAGAAGAAAAAAAAGAGAACTTCTGTACAAAAAATTTCAAATGAAAAGGAGAAGAAACGGTCAACGAAGAAGAGATGAGAGTGATGCAAAGGAAAAGATATGCTTTACTATTTGTAGTAACCAAAATAAAAGTTGTAACTTACATAGAGTATAGGAAAAGATTCGTAACGTATATGTCACGACCCCAGTTCGCCCTCCGTGAACATGTCGTGACGGCACCTAGTCCATACGACTAGGTAAGTCTAACAATGCGGAAGGTAAACCATAATTGCGGAAATATAATCAAGACTGAACTAGTAAGATAATAGTATTTAAGGCGCCGCTCGGCACATACAATAACAACTCTCGAAGCTAACAAAATTTCCAAAACCCGGAAACTCACAAATCACAAGCTATGAGATACATAAGAAGCTCTAACTCCGGACATATCTAAACAAGGGATAATACTGAAAGGGCTATACTTATTACAGAAGATAGAAAGGGACTCCTCGGTCTGCGGACGTAGCAGATATACCTCGAAGTCTCTACAGAACGCCTCCTCCCAAGGGTAATAAAACTGAGTGGAAAGTACCTGGATCTGCACAACAAAAATGTGCAGAAAAGTAGCATGAGCACACCACGGCGGTGCCCAGTAAGTATCAAGACTAACCTCGATGGAGTAGTGACGAGGAACAGTCGAGACACCTACCGGTCTAACAAACAGTGCAAAAGTAGAAACAACGGAACATGATATATATATATATATATATATATATATATATATATATATATATATATATATGTAAAGACTGTATGAAATGACCAACAATACTACAATCATAATCAGGAAAAAGAACAACAAGTAACAACGCAACTATTAGAATGATGACACGTGAGGATGGGCAAAAACTCATCCCAAATCCTAAAGTCACAATACGGTAAAGGGAAAACAAAACAATAACTCAGATCCTACGACGGTGTTCAAATCAGGTCTTATCCAGCAATTACCACGAATTACCGAATCTCGGACAATTACAACTCACGAGTCCCAGTACCTGAAATCTAACCACTGGCATCCCGTGCCCTCATCAGCCTCACGGTCACACTGACAACTCACCTCACAACTCCCACGAGACAAAGTTCATATAGGTAAACGTACCACAATCACAACATTTGAACAAAACAGAAATGCCCTCAGACCATCACAAATACTCACAATCAACCCCTGACATAGCTCACCTTGTTCCGCCACGTGTGCAAATAATAACATAATAAGTGCCCTCCTTGTTTCGCTACACGTGCATCATCATGTTCCCACCTTATTTTGCCACATGCGCAACCCACATATAAGCATATATACATATCCCGCCTTGTTACGCCGCATGTGCAATATATCAATAGTAGCAATAGCATGGCAGAAACCTCGTGCGACCCTACAACAAAAACTGCACGACAGAAAATTCGTGCATCACAATATCAATAACCGCACGGCAGAAACCTCGTGCATCACAATATCAATAACCGCACGGCAGAAACCTTGTGCATCACACACCAAGTACAACAGCAACAATGACAATATATACACAAGAACACAACGAGTGAATCAACTCAACAAAGGAGAAAATAATACGAAGCAACGACCCCCATAGCATGTAGTTCAACAATAAGGGAGTTAACAAGAGTCAAGTAAATTTCAAATAAGGAAATATCAACTAAACATAGAATATCTACTCTTCTTTCAAATGTTGGGCAGGTTACGAAGGATATACAACAATTTCAATTAAGACTAAATAATTACATGGGTGATAATAATGATTTCCAATAAAACAAGCAGTTATGAAAGTTAACGCGACAATAGAGGAAAAGATCTTCAGCTAAACAAATGTAAGAGTCAATTAGGCAATAAGAGTGAACCATAAAGCAGTAAATTCCAAGTAAAACATGTAGAGGTGAAACTAGAAATAGGGAATTCAATCATATCAAAAACAACTACATACTCAGTGAATATAAGGACCTAAGAATCCAAAAAGGGCAAGTTACCACAAATAAGTCCGAGCACGCACTCGTCACCTCGCGTACTCGGATTACAATCAACAGAGAAGACTCAATTCCTAAGGGGAAGTCCCCCACACAAGGTTAGGCGAGATACTTACCTCGAACCGGCTCAAAATCAACTAGAAACCACGTTCTTGCCACGAGTACTCGACTCCAAATGGTCCAAATCTATTCAATTCAATTACACATTGTAAATAACATCTCAAGCAACTGATTCTACTATCTAATTCAAAGCTAAGGCGTGAAATTAGGTAAAATAACCAAAATGCCCCTCAGGCCAACGTCTCAGAATCGGATGAATTTAACATTTTCAGAACCCTGTACTCTCACGAGTCTAACCATATAAAAATCTCTCAAATCGGATGTCAAAAACCCATTCAAAACTCAATAATTCGGCCTAAGAAGTTTTATCAAATTTTCATTCAAAAT